CCACCAGGAACGGGACCTCTCGGAAGGCCAAGAATCCCGCCACGTACGGGGCACTCACAGCCACCATCCGGCAATCCTCGTACAGCACCTACGAGCAGTGGGACAGCGCAGAGACAGCGACCTCCAGGGCTCTGCTGGTTGGTTCCTGACTCTTTCAGAGGCAAATCCTCCAGTATATGGCCCCTAATCTTATGTTTTTTAAAATACTCTGCTTCAGTGGGTGGGTAACGGACTGCTGACAGGAAAGGGCTGGACATCACCTGCCATTCCCTGCTCGAGAGCAAAGTCCTTGAAACAAAATTAGGGCAGCTATTCAAACAGACAGTGGGGGAGCGCAAAGTTCCCCCAGTCAGAGCATTATCAAAGGGCGCCTGTCGCTATGCGGGGAGAGGCCAAAAGAAACTCTGTAAGCCAGGACAAAAACACGACTGCGCAGGGCAAGTCAAGAATCGAGGCAGGATTTGAAATTAAAAATCCCAGCAGCCAGTATCAAACTTTATTTCTCTGCTTGTTACAGGTTTTATAGTTAAAGATAATTTTTATATCATTTTGAAAGCTGGGAAAGAGACCAAAAGCCTTTATTAATTCAAGCACAATGACTGTGGGATGTGGGATTCGTGGCAGTTTTGAAAAGGCTTTTATGCGTTACACCCCACGTTATTAGTTGGTTCCCAGAAGAACTCGCAAACAAGACATCTGCTGTCTGAGTGCTACAAACACTTTCATTTCCTCTCTTGATCAGCACTGAGTAACGATGGTCCTTCTCGTCTCCTTCTGGGGAGCGGCTCAGACTGACTGTTTTCAGTACACACCTACACCAGTTACAGGCTTCTGCACTGACCACGGACCACACCTCATCAGGACATTTTTTGACTTACCAACTAACTGAAACGCACAACAAACCTATCCCTCAACACCTCGCAAACTCCCAGTAACCCTACACACCTCTCCCAATCAGGAGTGGTTTCCATCTCATCTTCCTAACTGCATGTTGAAATCCTTACGCAAATTTTTTCCTCTGTTTATCTTTCTTGGAGCGTGCGGTTGGAGGCTTTGCTGAACACCCACGTGCTAACTGACCTGTGAGGCACAGCGCGGCAGATAACGGCCTTTGCCGGCGTTTTCTCTGAAATCCCCCATGTCATTGCACACCTGGGCACAACCCGAAGGAGGGAAGGTGTTCGCGTGCCGTTACCTCAAGAGCCGGGTAGCTGAGCACGACCAGGGAAGCGCAGGCGCTGGCGTCGTCTCCTTTGATATAAGACAAGTCCACACCTCCTACTCTCTCCAGTCCTGCAAAACCCGCAGCTTTCTGCCACTCCTCGGTGTCCTCCTCAACCACGCCAGCTTTCAACCGGGCCTGCTCTCTAGCGAGAGATCAGAGGGCCTTGGTGGGGGGGTGTCCCAGTGCCCAGAGCGGCAGTGGAGGGGTGCCCCAGTGCCCAGAGTGGTAGCAGATGGGTGTCCCAG